AGTGGAGGAGCGACGATTAAGAAGCAAAGATGAAGGCCCGGAATGGCTTTAGTTCTTGAGAGGGGCAGTGGATCTGGATCGATCTGAAAAAGGGGAGATAATGGCCGAAGAGCATGACCGGTGGCGAAACCTCAGATGGCATGGCGCTAGATCGATGTAGGTCTCGTAGGTGTAGCCGGGTCGGATGTGGACTCACAACAGTAGTGGTTGGTGGCGAAGGATTTGTGGAGAGGTTTTCGGAGCGGAGAAGATTGGGTTTTCTTGTTTGCTTGGTAGCGACAGAGAAAAGAAAGGGAAGGAATAGGGGGAGTCTATCTGTTTGGTAAAGTTAAAGGAAAGATTTAAGGGAGGCCAAATTTTAAGGGAGGCCGCCAAGTGAAACGCTTTTTCATTCCTGCCCATCGTGATTTCATTCCCGCCCATCAACAGTCACGGGAAGCTGTTTGATTTCCCGTTTAAACGCCAACTATCACAGGAATATCCACCCGTGATATGTAGTTTACTTTCGGTAATGGTAGTCCATCCCGTAATAAAAGATTCCAGTGACTGAAGATGTATTTTCTTTGTAGTGGTAATTGTTTATGGGCTAATAAATAAATTAACCATTAGTTACAACAATTTATACTAAACTTGATAAGTAATCTTTGAGAGTTCGTTGTTTAGGATATAAAGTATATGATTAGGGTATAGGGTATAAGGTACATATGGTTTAGGGTGTATATGGTTAGGGTATAAGATATTGATGGTTTTGACGGTTCTAAGTTTTTTATTAACATATGTTCACTTGAAGTCATTTGAAGTCTTTAACGGCAGGAGATCCCTTTTTAATTTATGTTTATGATACATGGATAGGGTACAAGGTATGTGGTGTAAAGTATAAGATATATGGTTAGGGTATAACAATTAGCAAATATCACTCTTTATCTATGTTTTGAAAATCAAAGTATGAATTTTACTTTTAAATTAACTATACTAGCAAAATCACAACTAAAAGACATATGGTTAGGGTATAGGGTATAGGTTATGTGATTATTGTATAATGTATTGATGGTTTAGGGTATACAATCAACAACATATACTAACTTAATATTGTTGATTGAGGGTAAGGCTAAGTGTATAGGATATATGCTATTGAGTAAGTTATGATTGAAGTAACAATAATTTTACTAAATTTGATAGCTAATCTTTAATGGTTCAATTTTTAGGATAATTCGAACAAATTTTACAAATAACTCGTTTGGCAACAGTTTACTGAAGTTATTTGGGCAATGAGCGAAATAACTCCTTTTATCACTATGCTTTTGCCAAATACCACACATCAAATACCATATTTGCATGGTTATACTAAACCAGATACTTTAATCCAATTACTATTGAATTAATACTAAAATATCAAATAAACAATTAATGTTGTCTTTTGGTTGCAAATATTGATATCACCATTACTATTAGCTATAATACTTTACCAATTATGATTAATTATATAACAAGTTTGCAAGTCATACAAATTGATTTAACATTTTGACTAGTTTTTTTCAAAAAAATAAAGTATATATATACGAGGTAGAAATAAATTAGTTAAAAAGTTGAGAAAATATTTTAAATTAGTGTAATAAAATGTGTAAGTTGGTAATGAGTAATGAGTTAAGTTACTTGATGTGCTAGCCCGAACAACCCGAAACCCGATCCGCCCGCAACCCGCCCGACCCAAAACCCGATGAACCCGCAACCCGATTTGCCCGCAACCCGATTGAACCCGAACCCGTTGAACCCGCAACCCGACTAACCCGCAACCCGTTTGAACCCGAACCCGATGAACCCGAACCAGATGAACCCGCAACCCGACTAACCCGCAACCCGTTTGAACCCGAACCCGATTGAACCCAGCCCGAACCCGCCCGAACCCGCCCGATTGACACCTATAGTGGGAGGGAAAGGATTCACGGGTGTGTGTATGATTGGAAAAGACGATGAGTTTCCAATTTATTATGCAAAAATCAACCAACAAAGAGACAATTAAATCTCCGGCTGATTTCATCCATTTTGTCCGGTTTAATTTCACTTTCCTTGGCCCGCCTTCTTTCCTTCTCTATGAGAGAAACAAAAATATAGCCGGTTAAGTAGAGGTGGCAATTAGGATCCAAATCCATAAATCCAATCCAATCCATCCACCAAATTATCCACTTAATCCAATCCATTTAAATCCAATCCATTTGATCCAAATTCAATTGGATTGGTGGATTCATGGATCAATCCATGGATCCAAATGGCAAATTACGATTTGGTACCTATAGTTTTTATATTTTACATTTTGGTACCTAAAAATTATATTTTTATACGAAAAAAATCATTGGAAAATTACATTTTGGTACCTAAAATTTTTCATTATGACATTTTAGTACCTAAACTTTTCAAAATTTACATTTTGGTCCAAGTCTAGGATGTCATTTGGATTCATGGATCAATCCACCAATCCATTTGATCCAATCCATGAATCCACCAATCCATTGGATCCAATCCATTTAATCCATGGATCCACCAATCCAATCCACGAATCCACGAATCCGATCCAATTGCCACCTCTACGGTTAAGTGGACTTGTTCAATTTTTCGTACCAACGAACTTGGAATGTGTAAATCTAATTCGAAGATTACTTTTTGTTTCCAAGGCCTAATAAGCTAGACAACTGGTTTTGATGGACTAGGAAATTTAATGGAAAAAAGGAAGACTATCACCTTTGAGGTTAAAAGGGGGAATGAATCACCGTTTTGGCTTGAAGCGGGGAATAGATCACCGCTTTAATCAACATCGGGGAAGTAATCACCGCTTTAGTTGACAACAGGGTGAGGAAATGTTAGGTTTTAAAGAGCAATAATCGTAAAACTATCATTTAGACAATCTTGACCTTTAATTTAAAAAAATAAGGAAAATAAACCATATAAAGCTTAGTAGCCACCACAACCACTAAAATAAATAACAGTTGTCACTTAACTCATCCCTCTCGCCACTTTTTGCAATATGCATCACGAGAACACTTCATAAATAAGTTATTTCTCCTATATATATTTATGGTGGCTACTTCGGTGTACTCACTTTTTTGGGTGCGTTCAATGCACCCATCTCTAAAAGTGGTCATAATACATTAAATTTTGAAATTTAATGGGTTGTACTAGTCTAATATGATGATATAACATAAGATCCCAACTAATCAACCCATTAGGGGTGGCAACCGGTCGGTTTCGGTTTAACCCAGACATGACCAACCGCTACCGACAACCGACCGTCCCAGCAGTCCCGGTTAGCCGCAAACCGACCGGTCGGTTTTTCGGTTTAGGTGCGGTCTAACCGGGCGTCTCTCCAACCGCCTCTCGCCCTTCAATCCCCAAGTCACTCGAGGTCGAGGTCACTCCAAGCACTCCCGACGCAGATAGGTGCGGTCTAACCGCGTCTCTCCAACCACTCCCGACGACCGCCGCTGTCCCCTCGCCAATCAGTCGCGGCGGATGGTGCCGAGTCACTCGAGGTCGCCGCTTCTCCACGACAACCTGTCTGCGTCGGATTGCGACTCGATTGAATCCGCAAGGAGGAGCGATGCCAGGCGGCGACCCAAACCTGGAATCTCGAAACCCTAAATTGAAAAAAGGGAGAAAAAGAATGGCGCTGTGGTGGCGCCCTGCGACGAGGGGGATGAAGAAATGGAGGAAGAGGACGGCGCCCGCGACGGCGACGAGACGGAGAGCTTCCGCTACTCCTCCAGAAGCTTCTCCTTCGACGAGTGCAACCGCCCCGGGGAGATGACCGAGAGCGAGAACGAGGAAGTGAGGTTACTGCGGCGGGCGGCGGATGACGGATTCCGAATCCGACTGACATGCGGCGGCGAGGAGAGGATTCCATGCGGCGGCAGGTGCTTATGGGGTTGAGATCGAGTTCTTCGGCGGGGGAGCTGGGCGGCGGCGGGTCGATGGGGGAAGTGATGGCGGTGGTGAGGAAATCGACGGATCCGAAGGGGGATTGCAAGAGGTCGATGGATTTGGGAGATGGAGATTTACGACGCCAAGGAATTGGAAGAACTGCTGGCTGCCGCAGTGAGCGGCGATGGATATTGGAGGAGGAGGGCTGAGGACAGAATCGACACTTAGGGTTAGTAGGGGTCGGTTAGCCGGTTAACCGCCGGTTTTCGACCTCGGTTAGTCGGCTAGCCGAACCCTTGCCCAAAACCACCGCCAACCGACCGATGCATTCAGAATCAGTTTTTCGGTTAGCCGAAAACCGGTCGGTTCGGTTGAAACCGTCCGGTTAACTGCTAACCGAAAACCGTTCTGCCACCCCTACAACCCATTACCCTAACCTATTAACCTTCAATTTTGAATCTCAAACCAAAATCCCAAATTGTAAACCCTAACCCTAAATTCCTAAACCCTGAATCATTCAAATTAAAGTGAATCTTGAATGATTTTTGTACAAATTCATGTGGTTCTTGTTCATCATACCACAAGTGATGATTGACATCGTTTTCACATGAATCGCCTCCTCAGAATGACGATTATGAGGCGGGTGCATTGAATGCACCCAAAAAAGTGAGTGCACCGAAGACATAACCATATATTTACTTATTTTAACCATAAAATATATACACATCGTTAATATTATTATTATTATTAATTTTTTTTGTAGAAAATGGGATTATCCTAACAGATCGTTTGGTGCCAATTGAATCGAAGAATTCATTTCATTGTAAAATGAATTACGGTGTAGTATCCATTGTCAAATGAAATCTTGTGTTTGGTATGTCATATTCAAATCTTTAAAAATAAAATGAATTGTCGTGTAGAATTCATTGTCAAAAGAATTTTTGTGTTTGGTATCTCATATATATATAAGTAAATTAGTTAATAAAAAGGATAATTATGTCATTCTATCATAATTAGTAAATACTTGTGGAATTCATTTGGAAATTCCATCTCAATTCCTCGAAATTGCTATAACTAGTTCCAATTTCATAGAATTCAAAATTTAGATTTGATAATGTATTCCTCAAAACTTATAAAATTCGAGTCTGGCACTTGGTCTGGGTAACACCCATGGTATCATATACAGCCTGGATCTGAGGTATTAAAAAGGAGGAGATACAAAATGGTATTTCTGGTATGTTTCGGAGCAATTAGTTTGTGACAAATGAAACTGAATTTAAGCAAAAAGGAGATACAAAATGGTCTGTGTTGGTGGTGTGCTTTGGTTTACAACAGACTGCAAAATCTATACACTTTCTATTATCTACTTGTAAATCCATTCATTTGCACGGCCTCCAGTCTCGTCCATGTCTATGAAAATGCTAACTGCCTGCAAACCCCATCAATGAAACCAAACCAAAATCATTTACTCTTCTTAACTATTAAGTTCAAAATAACGAAACAGCTATACAGTATTGAACTACAGATATTCGGAAGAAGTAGAGAAGACGTATGGTTCGGGTGTAGCATATTCATAATATCATACAATTGAACAATGCATAGTTTATCGTCGTCGATACTTGTAGTGTAATTGAGTGAAATTTTAAATGCACATGCAGTCACATTTGCATCAAAATGATTCAATCGTATATATATATGTGTTATGAGAAGTATCTGAAATTGCACTCTATAAAATTTCGAGGCCGATTTCCAGCATAAATACACTAACCTAACTATGGTATTGCACATACATCTTACATGATAACATACAATTGAGACATATAACATCAATAGCCGAAGCAAACACATGAGACTATAAAAAGCAGGGGAAGTTCTCACCTTGCCAATGCGAGGTCGCTCTTTCAACTTCTCCAAGCTGTTCCTGATATGGGAGACTGCCCCCCAACACTTCAATGTGTTAGCCACGTCGTCCAGTCTCAACAAATACTCTTCTTCAGTTAGCGGAAACGACCTCTGATGATCCCCAATCGTGATGCCAACCCGATCAAAAAGGATAAAATAAAACACTGGTTAGTTAGTCACAGCCAAAATTACTCTAACACGGTGCACATATCAGGGTTATGCTTTTACCTGCTCCATATACTTCCACATTACATTCAAAGCCAGGAGGTTTCTCCCCATGAACTCCTACACCACCGGCATCACTACAATCAGCGTTATTCACAACAAGAGGCAGAGAAGAAAAGCAACACCTTCATATAGGAATCATCACACACATGGTCCATTTTTGCGGTAAACTAATATCCATACAAAGTTCTATCGCTCTGCCCATGTCTTGCTAACACTAGGTTCCAAATCTTTTACTACAGTTGAAAGAAATGTTTGTTAAAAGCACAGGGAAGTAACAATTTATCGCAAAGACATTTGAAAATGGCTGATCAATAGTATGAATCGGGTATCAGGGAAGCTGGTTTAGAAGGGTACGGTTACATATCCATTCCATGTCGCAATAGTTTAGAGTTCATCAAGCACATGAAAGCGAGTGAATGAATGGACTGATCACCTATCAAACGAGGAGAGAAGTTATAGAATCCATCAAAAGATATGTACTCCACCCATGTATATTACCTTCTTAATTAGTTGAACATCATAAGACCTCCCGTACTTGTTCCTAATTAGCGTGGCAAGGTCTATCCCACTGAACTTCGAATCATCTCTGCCCACGATTCTCTCAAGGTTCTCTCTGACTGCATCCTTACCTGCCTGAAACCAGAATCAGATACTAAATGATTTCGTAATCAGACAAGAGGCAGGCTAGCATAGCAGAGTGTTGACATACCCCATCAGCCGCACTTCCCTTAGAATAAGGGTCATCCTTATTTCCATCTTCTGCATCATCATCATCCTCATCATCTGAACCATCACCACCACCATCCACCACAGTGGCAAACGCAGGCCTGCATCTCTTGTGGGAGCTAGAAGCACCGTATGAATGAGAAGAACCATTTGAGAATATCAATCTTCCGCGAGGCAAGCTATGTGCATATGCCCCAACATGGTGTTGATAATGAGAATTATGGCCTCTGCTGGAGTGTGGAAGTTTATTATTGCTTGATCTCTTTGTAAAACCCCAAATAAGATGTTCCTGATCATGAACTCCTCCTCCTCCTACTGACCAATAACTACGGTGGTTCGATGACACGATGCTCGTCATATCCTGAATACCTAAAAGGAGTTCCCCCTACTGGCTTTCATGAAACAAAAGGAACAGTAAGGATCTAATCAACAAAATGGAGGTATAAGACCTCAATTGCGCGGGATTTAGCAATTATACCCGTATCACTAATCAGAGCAATTCGTGTGAGAAAAAAATAGCATTAGCAGCCGGTTGTATAAAACTAGGGCAAATTTCTGAAATGGGTACTGGTTCAACTTTAACGAGAGCGAGCACTGCATATGCTCTGGTTCTACATGACGGAGATAGAGGAGGGGAAGAAGCTGAACTAACCTGTTCTGGAATCAGAGGAGGAGCAGGAGGAGGAGAAAGTCCAAGAATCTGTGGACAGTTACTGAATTTGTAGAGGAGAACGGAGGTGGCGAGATTGCCACACAAAAATGAAAATTGAAAAGGTAGAAAATAAAATGAGAATAAAACGAATAATTGTTTATTTGTGGATTAATAACTATAGAAATCCCCATACTATGTAAAGATAGCCAACGATCTCCTATTATTATATGGGGCTTGCTATTTGCCGCCAACTAAAAAAAAGAAGTATATATATACATCTTTAGTTAAAAAGTTTCACAATCTACAACATATTCAACTTTCAGAAAACGTATTGAATCAGAAAAAATTGACGCTCGCCGGAAAAGTCGCCGGAAAACCATCGGGAAAGCCCATCCTCGACGTAAACTGCGGACACGCATCCATGAATCATCACTAAGCAGGTGCGTCAAATTTTTTGTAGTTTCGAACAATTTTTCCGACGAAGGAAAACGGTGGCCGGAGCCTGGCCGGGCCGAAGGAAAACGGTGGCCGGAGCCTGGTCGGGCCGAAAAATATTTTCGGCCAGACCAGGCTCCGGCCACCGTTTTCCTTCGGCCCGGCCAGGTTCCGGCCGCCGGAAACTTTCGGCCCGGCCAGGTTCCGGCCGCCGGAAATTTTCGGCCCACCCTGTTCGTTGCAAATCGTCGGAAAAATTTGATTTTAGAAGTTGAATTTAGAGTTTAGGAGTTGAATTTAGCGTTTAGGAGTTGAATTTAGCGGTTAAGACTTGAAATTAGCGTTTAGGAGTTGAATTTAGAGTTTAGGAGTTGAATTTAGCGGTTAAGAGTTGAAATTAGCGTTTAGGTTCACAGGAATATTGATGTGTTATATTGTAATTGTAGGAAAAATGTCAGAGTGGTTACCGGCCGATCATGATTACACAGCAGAATTTGAGAATGGGATCCATTATGCAAGTGTGGAGTTAGCTGAGTTAGCTGCAAAAGCAATCGCTCAGGAGTGTGGGTTCTTTATTATTAGAGGAGCATGGAAACCGAATACTGCTGGACTACATCCTGTTACTGCCCTCTGTATGTATTGCGATAGAAGCAGTAGGATCGTTAAGTCTTATAAACCAGACCCTACGAAGGAGACGCGTGGGAATATTAGTTCGAAGGGTACTGGTTGCCAGTTTCAGATATATATTAAGGAAGTATGGCAAAAGGATGGTCCAAACACATGGGTCCTAGTGGGAGTGACAAGTCGTGAAACCGGAGCTAATAGAGGGTTTCACAACCATGAAAAGGTGTTGTATCCAGAACATCACCGACACAACAAACAGTTTAGTGAGGCTGAAAAAGAGAGGTTAAGATTAATGAGGAAGGCGGGGGTGAGACCAAATCAGCAGAAGACGACACTCAATACTGAAGGGGGTGTGAGTCATGATATCAAACAGATGTACAACATAAATTACAAGATAAGATTGGATGAGATGGGTGAAATGGATGCGATACAGTTTGCACTTCATGGAGCTGAACAACGTGGGTACCATATCTGTTTGCAAAAGGACTCTAATAATGTGCTCACTAATATGTTTTTTGCGCACCCGACGTCCATTCAGATGTTGCATGCATGGCCGTACGTCATCATCATTGACTCGACCTACAAGACGAATAGGTATGGCTGGCCATGGGTTGAGATTATTGGGGTTACTCCAGTCAAGAAGAATTTCAACATTGCATGTGCAATTATTAAGCAGGAAACAAAGGAAACATATGAGTGGGTGCTGCGATATATTAAAGGGTTGCTCGGTGATACGGTTCCGAATGTCATTGTGACAGACAAAGAAGGTGGTCTGTTTGCTTCTATTCCTGTGGTCTTCCCTCTCCCACATACTGTCCACCTACTATGTTTATGGCACGTCAACAACTGTGTGAAGCAAAAGTTTGAGCAATTACTGGGTGGAATTTCAAAAAGAGAGGTAGCACAAGCGGTATGGAAGAAATATTTCAACAAAGCTGCATGGAGTTGGACTCAGGAGGGTTTTCTTCAAAAGATTAATGAGTTTGAGAGGGTCTGGACACAGAAGAACATAAAAATGGTCGACTACGTGCGAGGTGAGTGGTTGCCTCATCAGACAATGTGGGCAAAGTGCTACACGAACCATGTGTTTCATCTTGGTAACACGAGCTCGAATAGAGTTGAGGCATCTCACTCTTCATTCAAGACTTTCCTTGTGTCTGGTAGAGGAGCGATTGACACTTGTTTTGTGAAGAACCACAACTACATGGAACATCAGTTTCTAGAAGTGGTGAATGAGCTGCACAAGTCACTTAACCGCAATCTGAGTAGGGCAATTGAGCCTCCGTGCACGTTTTTGAGGAGGGTCGTTAGTTGTGAGGCAATCAAACTGATGTTAGATGGGGCGGCGGAGTTGAAGGACAGTTGTGCGTGTCATTTTCAGATGACACATGGGCTCAAGTGTGCTTGCCAGGTTGTTCAAGCTAAAGAAGAAGGACGTCAATTCTATGCTCAAGAGTTGCATGTATTTTGGCGGACTTTGGATTATAAAAACCCCCCCACGTCAACAACAAGTCAATGATGAAATTGAGCTTCAACGAGAACACTTTAGGCGTCTTACTGTTGAGGTGGAAGAAAGAGGTCCTGAAGTAGTGAGCAAGCAAGAGATGCCCTGTCGGTATCCAAACTGTCGGAGGCAACGGGCTGGATCATAGAACTCGCCTATATCAGCGAACCGAATCACTCCAGTGTACAAAGAGCGACGCACTACCTGATGAGGCCTCTGATGGAAAAGTGTCCAAAACACATCAGAAGGGGTCAAGCTGTCAAGAGCTCGACGGTAGAACGCCAACCTCACACTGGGATCAGCCACAGAACCAGTCGTCGGCTGCCCAATCCATCGTGAAGCCCAAGCCTCATCAGGTCCAACGACAGGTGGCTCAAAGTGAGATGGCCCGAAACCCGGAAAGTACTCGTAGATCCAACACTGCAGAAGTATGAGACAACCAGCCACCCCCCTGGCACCAGCACGAGACGCGTGACCAAGGCATCTGTACAACCAAGCAAGTGTACCGGACGCCCAACTGTACTGATCTATCTCCTCCAACTCGTCCAAAAATAGGTTCACCACCGGCCGAACCCTGTCTCTACTCTTGTCCACAAACAAAGTGGACCCCAACATCAACAACAAGTACGAGTGCGCCTCTGTCACATGTGTCCCGTTCACCTGCAAGTATCTGGACGCCATCTCCGCAAGAAAACCACCCTTGTCGTACCACTTACCCTTACTACCAAATCCAGGGGCCTCCGAACGACCACTCAACTGCTCCGAGTTCATCCCAAGAAGCGCACACAAACCCACCTCCGGATGGTCAAGCTGCGCAGAAGTCCTACTCATCAGTCGTCCCTCAACAGGAATCTGCAGTAAGTACTGAACATCGTGGAGGAGGATCGTCATCTCTCCAAAAGGCAAGTGGAAGATATTCGTGTCTGGCTGCCACCTCTCCACAAAAGCTGAGATCAAAGCCTCGTCAATCGCTATCTTGCGGAACATAGAGTAGATCAGGTGCTGGAGACCTGACTGCTGAACCAGATCCTCCGCCTCAACATGACTAAACATGTAGCTCCCAAGATAATCAACCGCCCCTGTACGGGTGTAGCAACTGATGACCCCTCGATCTCCAAACCCCGTCCAAAGTGCATAGGAAGCGTGGCCACGGAAGCTCCTAATGAGGCTAGGATCCGTAGGTCCACCAGGACACTCACCAACAAGCTCCCACGGTGGAGGACCACTCGAACGTCTTCCCCTACTCCGTCCAGTCCCCGAGCTCTCTGTCTCCTCACGAGCAGGTGGTACGAATCGCCCAGCTCGGTCCCTATACATAGCAGGACGTGATGTTGTCGTACGATCCTGCGCTCGTCCATGTCCACGCGTAGGTGGAGGGACCTCGATATCCTCATCATTATCGTCCTCATCAAACTCAGCCGAGACCACTCTCGATGCAGCACCCTGGTTCCCCCCATGGGAACCAGACGACCGTGATGACGAACGAGCAACTACAGTAGGAGCCTCTGACTGATGTCCAATATCTCGAGAGCGCTTCTTCTCCTTATTCTTCTTAGGCACCTTCCTTCGTGTTGATGCATCAACAACCCTACCATTGAATCTACCCAACTCACTCCCACCCGCATCATCCATATCTAATTATCTACAAATTTACACAATATCATACTTAAATGCGCACTAATTAATTAAATTTCTATTAACTAATGTACTATTAACAATTAATCACAAATTAATTAATATCATACTTAGATGCGCACTAATTAATTTAATTTCTATTAACTAATATACTATTAACATTAATTGTTAATTAATCACTAATTAATCAATATCATACTTAGATGCGCACTAATTAATTAAATTTCTATTAACTAATGTACTATTAACATTAATTGTTAATTAATCGCTAATTAATTAATTTTCTATTAACTAATGTACTATTAACATTAATTGTTAAACCAATTCTTAATTAATTAATTTTCTATTAACTAATCTAAGTAATTAAAGATTCATACGCCTATTACAAAAAAAAACATTTATACACCAACTTAAAAAAATATTAACACTAATTTCTAATAACTAATTAAGTAATTTTTTATTGACTAATTAATTAACATATTAAATTAAATACAAAAACTGGCCGGGCCGGAAAAAATTTGCGACCGGCGCGCCGCCGGGCCGAAAAAATCTTGTGCCCGGTGCGCCGCTGGGCCGAAATTTTTTTGCGGCCGGCGCGACGCCCGTCCGAAAAATTCTTTCGGCCCGGCGGCGCGTTCGGCGACCGGCCGAAAAATATTTGCGGCCGTAACGCCGCCGGGCCGAAAGAATTTTTCGGCTGGGCTTCGCGCCGGCCGAAAAATTCTTTCGGCCCGGCGGCGTTCCGCCCACAATTTTTTTTCGGCCCACCGTGTTTTTCGCCGGAAAACTGGAAAAATTGCCGGAAAATTGAAAAACTTGCCGGAAAAAGTAAACTTACTTGTTTTCCGACGATTGAGGATGACGGGAGGTTGGCCGGCGACGGAGGAACGGTGCCGGCGACGGAGGCACTGTGCTCGTCGACAAAAATGTTTTTGTTGGAATGAGTCAAATGTTATGGTATTCGAATTTATAGGAAGGGAAGGAAGGGAGAATTCAAATTTTGAATTCAAAATTTGAATTCAACTTTTTTTTTTTGGTTGGCGGCAAATAGCAATTTGGTTGGCGGCAAATAGCCGTTCACTACTATATTTCCGCGGAATGAATCCATCTTACTATTTGCATTAGCTCGCTAGCATTCCGAAATGCAGTAAATATTAATCTTGATGAAGGCATTTTACTCAATTAATTCGGAGTTCTTATTATTTGTCATGGAAGTGCAGAATTTCTAAGTCAGTGTATAGAATGGGTAAGAACTTGTGTTACTACTACTACAACTACAACTACAACTAGCTTTAGTGTTACTGTTCAGAGGAGTTTATTTGGGTTCTTTCCAGCTCAGAAATGGATAAGGCAGGGGATCCCCTCTCATCCTAGCCTTCCACAAGTGTTATGGAAGTTTTGACGGTGTTATATAACAAAGTAGCTAATGAGAATAGGCTTTAATACCATCTTCAATCTAAATTAATAGAGCAGACACATTTTATGTTTTGTGGATGACTTATTGATTTTCACTGAGGGTTCAGTCTAAGCACTTCATAGTGCTAAAAGAGTATAGGGGTGGGCAACAGGGCGGGATTGGGTACCCATTCCGTTTGAAACGGGTACCCAATCTCATTTATAGAGGAAACTTCATCCCATGTCTCAAACTCGTATTGTGGTCAGGACCATTTTGATGCAAAATATGTGCATACTCAAACGCTCAACCCTATCATCACTACACCATGATGGTAACCTCTAAATGCTAGAGCTTGCAAGATGGTTGTCATCACTAGCTTGTCCGGAGGTCTTAGACACAGATTCAGATGACTGGCTAGGGATCTAGGATATGGAGAAAAGGCTTTTTGGGTGGTGGCAGACATAGCATGAGATTCCACATCTTCAACCTAAAACCAACACAAGGTTCTATGATTTCGACGAGAACCTTCTTTTACAAACAATGGGCAGTAGCATTGGCCAAAACCCACACTTCCCACTATTCCAAACCACAACCAATCACCAAACCATCCACAGCAAACTTTCTTTGCTACACTTGATATCAAACTTTTCAAGCAAAAGAGTGGAGGTACATAAACATTTTTAGAGCATACACACATTTTGGTGGCCACTCTCTTTTTTTCTTTGTTCGTTTTATTGCTTTCTTTTTCATTTCTTTTTCTTCTTTTCTCTTTTCTTTGAGGGCTAGTAGAGACCTAAAACATGCCACCCTCTTGAAACTTTATAACCAGTGCTCACTTAATAAGAACTACCTCCAACACTCACTTTTTCATTCTTAGCAAAACCATGCACAAATCACTCATGTGGAACCTCATTTAAGCTCAAATGGTATGAATGGAGCTTCCAAACACAAACGGTAACTCGATAATGGTGTAGACACGAAGAAAGTAGGGTTGCTCTATCAAATCAATCAAGCTCAAGTAGCGGGAGTTACCTAACACGAGAGTGACCTTTAGACACACAGCTCAAAAGGGTTGACTAGGGGATAATTAAATTGGGACAAGTCAAATTTTGGGTCGTGGACTAAACCTATGCCTCCATCTTCCTTGCTAGTGACAATGTGAATGCTACACATCATGTTAAGTGGGATCTATCATACCAGAAAGAAAACGAGCGACACAAATCTCACATGGCTACCTAGATGCTCAATCATTCATTCCAACTTCCAAATTTCTATGCATAACAATTTTGATCAATGACTAATCAATCCAAAACATCCATTGGTTCGCAAACACATGAGAACTTAACATTTACACAACCCTAATGCATAATCTGGTCATCTCTAGTATTTATCTTCAGCAAAACTAACATCTCCATTATTTACTTTTTGCTAATGTGGTCATCTCCAATATTTGTTTTGAGCATAATTGGTCATTTATAGTATCATTTACTTTGCAAACTATTTTCAAGTTAATTTCAAATTGGTGTCTCATTTCGTCCTTACTAGTGTATATATATATACCTAGATTTTACCTAATGTATGATAGAGGTCTTAGTTATCTTAATCATAGACCCTACATGCTAAGATTGTGTATGTAATTTTTCTCATATATTTCGATGAATCGGGACCGTCGATTGTTGTGTCTAATTAAATTGATCTTAGTGTATGAGATTTATAAAATTAAGACCTAGATTTTAATCTTTAAGGGTTAGGATATAGTACCATGTTCCAAAATCCGGTCAATTCAAGGTCTAGATATCATTTTCTTACCCAAGGTATGTTATACGATTATACGTTTGATTTGACTCAAGATACGATAGAATCATCCATATATATGGGCCAAACATTAGTTTTCTGAAACTTCACATTTCACAAATCATATATACTTAAACATAAGAGAATATCTCCAAATTAACAAAGAATTGATGATACTATTGCTATTGGATTAATTATGTATCAACAAGATGAACTAAATGGTCACACATTAGAATTATTAAATTACAAAAAATATAATTTACTGTTCTTGATGAAAAAATCGGAATCCACTGTTCACATAAGGGTTTTGCGATCACATATGGACAGTTTTAGGTAAGTTTGAATTTACCACATTGGGCTGGAAAAGGCTGAGCATTGATTGCTTTTAAATTCCTTTGTTATTCATATATTTATAAATTATAAGAAATCTCATTTAACATATGAGTACTAACAGATAAATTTATAAATTATGTCTAGTTTAGTTCGAATATATGAAAAAGTAATTATATTGTATCACGAGTAAAAACCGGCGTCGTGTTACCTCCAACTCGAAAAACTAGATACAAGTTGACATGCAGGTGTGACATCCATGTTTCTCAACAAGTCCGGATCAAACCGGTTCAACCGATGGGTCCACCCACAAACTGACAATCTTGCTTAAACCCCTCTATTAGTGGATAGATGGTGAAGATAGGCAGTTCAACTTGGATTTATATTTATGGGTATTCTCAAGATTGCAACGGTCATTTTTTACTCTGTGTATGTATGAGTAATTCATACTCACAGAAGT